TAATTTTGAAAAGACACAAAATCAAAAAAAGAACAAGTGTTTCGGAGGATATGGAGAAATAGGAACTCTCATACGCTGTATTAGGGATATAATGGTTTAGCCACTGTGAAATAGAATTTGTTGGTCCCTCCAAAAGTTAAATAGAGAACTACCATATGACCCAGAAATTCTTTCTTTCTATCTATCTAATCTATCTATCTATCTATCTATCTATCTATCTATCTATCTATCTAATTGAAAATAGGTACTCTGATAAATACATGTACATGCATGTTCATAACAGCAATGTTCAAAAGGGCCAACATATAGAAACAACCAATGTCCATCAGTGCATGATGGTGACCAAATTGTGGTACATCCGTACGATCAAATACTATACAACCAAAAAAAGGAGTGAAGTACTGACGCATACTACGATGTCCATGAACCTTGAAAAAGTTGTTAAGTTAAAGAAGCTGGGTACAAAAGGTTACATTTTTTATGGTTCCATCAATATGAAATATCCAGAATGGGTAATTCGGGGGTACTGGGGCTTAGGGAGTTTCTTAGGGAATGATGAGCTACCGTGTCATGCTCACTGGATTTCCTCTGGGGAAGGTGACAATGTTTTGGAATCAGCTGAGGTGGTGATTTTACAACATCATGAGTATGCTAAATGCTGCTAGGTTATTCACTCTAAAATGATTAATTTTATGTAATGTGATTTCACTTTAAGAAAAAGAAAAAGAAAGAAGGAAAAGACAGTGACTGTCTCAGACCTATTAAAGTTAGCTGAGTTTTTCACTAATCTTATAGAAGTATTTTTAATTTGAATTTGAATTTTAAAGAAATATTATAACCATAACTTTTTTCATTTTCAATAAGAAGCTAAATATTATTTTTTATCACTGCTTTAAATCAAGCTAATATAAATCAACTGATAACACTATGTGAACTGCCAATCATTTTATAATAATATAGAGAATTATAAGCAGCATGTTAGTCATATCAAATACAAAATAATATAATTTCATAGCTGAATGACAATTTATATTATAATTTCAAAAAGTCCAAATTCGGTAGAAGTGAAATAAAGTGTCAAAATTTGCATCTTTATTTTAATTGGCTGTGGGATAAAGTATGATTTATCTGACACATAGGAAGGAGATTTTAAAGGATAATATAAGCCATCAATAACCTTATAGACTTTGTTACCCTCTGCAATTGCCTCGTAATATAATAAAATGGAGAATATCAAAATTAAAGATAAATCAAAACATACAATGAAATTTAAATAATGAAAATGGAAGCATAAGTACGTGAATTTATTCATCTGACACATTTGTGAAGGTGTGCCAAACACTGTAGGAGGGACTGATAATTAATATTCATAATTTTAATTTAACAAGACATGACAGCATTTGATATTTTAGTAAGAGAAAGTGAAACCCCACCCAGCAATAATTTAGTCCTGGAAATAATTCTTTATATATACAAAATCTTATTTGTGTAACTTTGCTTCAGTAGAGAATAAGAAAACAGGAAGAAAAATAAAACTCTTAGTTTAGAATTAAATTAATAAATGTTAATTCACTGCAAGTGTGTGTGTATGCACACACAGGCATGCTTGTGGGTATCTGAGGGTGGGTGAGAGCAATCATATATTAAATACCACCCTATTTTGCAGCCTATGATTTATTTCTATCAGTGGGTAACTTTAAGTAGACAGTTTCCTTACAACTTTAATAAATGACATTTAAGAGTAGTATCTTTGCTAACTTTAGAAATTTGAGGGCAAAAGAACATCCTTCTGCTCAACCCAAGCAATCTCATTCACTTTTGATAAAACATATACAAAATCATGGATGTGTTTCTAAGTTTCATTAAGTAATTAAATTATCAATTCCAACAGACATCTAGTGTTTTGCTACAAACGACATTCTTAAAAATAATTTTCATTTTCATAAACTATATTTTTTGTATGTGAAATATAACATATTTCACATACAAAAGTGTTTAATTTTCCATGTGTCTAAAGGTCTCTATACTAACAAAAATTTTGACTAATAACTATATTGAAAATTAAAATTTGTAGTGTACCTCATAGCAAAGGCATGTAAGAACAGTCAAAGAAAAACATGAAATGGCCCTAATTACATCAAATTATATTATGATATATTTAAATCATTGCTATTTTATAACAGTAAAGGAATAGACATAATTATTGTTTATTCTTATATTGTTTAATAATTTTATGAGTAAAATAGGATTTGGAAGAAAACTCACGAGTGGCGAAAACTTAAGAAAACCATAGGTTTGCCTCCTAAACAACTGAATGGAAATAAATTATGTTTGAATACAAAGTTCTAAACAAATGAAATATAATGTCATTTACTGACAGTAAAGTGAATTCATTAGGAATTGGGTTTGAAGGCCATTCCACTTTTGGATCAATTCATCATTTTCCTGAGACACATCAATTACTACTCTGTCACAATAACTTCCTGAAAATGACCCATTGTGTGACCTGAAGAAGGGGGTTCAGTTGCCAGAATGATTTAAGAAAAAAAGCTTCCGAAGCATTTCGTGAGAGCCATGTTGTCTAGTTTACGGGGTTTTACCCAGTAGAATACTGAGCACTTTTTCCAATAACTTTTCACTTTAAAAAGTGAATCTTTGCCTTCAATTTCTAGTGCGATTTAACACTGAAAGGCATTCTTGTTTCAAATTGTATTCCCTATAAGACTAAAGCCAAAAAAAAAAAAAGACTATTATGCGAAAGTCCTTCCCTCCTCTATAAGTAGGGATTCACCAAAATCGCATTGAACAATGAGATTCTTAAGATTCAAGAAATTAACAAAGGCATTGCTATGGAAATTTCTGTGAGCAGCAGGTAGGTCTGCATCTGCCCCAAACACGATTTAAAGGTGACGAGATGTAAACACGAAGCGAAGCGGGGAGGCATCTCCATCACCGCGAGGCTGGTGGTGGGTGGCGTTCCCACGGTGCTTCTCGTACACAGGTTATTCCTACGATACCTATACACATAATTTATGCACACGCAGGTCAGTTTCTGTTCATTGTTAAAGCTACGACTGGGCTTTGTGTCACCGCAGCTGCGCTGTTCCCTGGACTTCGGCACGTTCGCACGTGCGGCGATTCACTTGGCAACGGGGTGTCTGAATCGTGATGCTTTGATCTTTTGTGGGGATCTCTGAGGCACGGGATTTTGACCTGCAGCTACTCCATAAGTAATTATTTTGGTTCATGTAATGAGTCTGAATTCTTAATGAAGAGGGAGGGAAAAATCACTAACACCTTCTCTCCGCCATAAAAAAAGATAAATGCTTAGGAATAATCTTCTGACTGATGAGCACACCCACGGATACGGTCAGACCTAGTTTCCAAGTTCTGTCTAGTTACAGGCTGAAGAACTACACTGGTCCCAAACAGCCCAGGCCTGACCTCAGCACCCTATTGACAGGACATGCCAACTGGCACCTGTGCCAGCTCCTGATAGGCCACCCTCAGCCTTCCTCACTGACATGCTTCATGATTATAACATTATGAAATAACTAGGAAGGCATAAAAATGAAATAGAATAAATTACTCTTAATCTGTGTTCCCATTCCACTTTATTCTTCCCAAGCATCGCCACGTATTACTGACAATAATTTACATGTATATCTTCCTATATTGACTCTCAGCATGTGCCGGGCGAGATAATGACTCACTAACCTTCACATAGCGTCACCTGGGGCAGTGACGGATACAGAGCAGATTGTAAATAAGTGCTCGTTCTGTTCAAGTGAATCAAAGGGAAACATATTTTGATGATCAAAACTTGTTCCATAATTGAAATAATTCTGGACCTTCACAAGTGAAAATCTGCAAAAATAATTACCTATGTATTTATCAGTTGTGTATGTGTTAGAACCAAATACACCACTATGGTTTATGAATCTGTACAAAGGAAATTATGATCACTGACTAGAACATTTAGCTTTAGATATTTGCATTGCCAAGTCATGAAACACTAAAGCATTTTAATCTTGTATTTGCAATAAATCTCTAGAATCACACACACACAAAAAAAGGAAAATGATATAGAATTCAATTTTTCTGGCCATTTAGCTTTTAGAGTTCGTATGAGTATAAACTACTTAAATAACTCAAAAATATGAACTCATTAGACTCATCTTTTACTCACTGCTAAAGGCATTGAGTGAAAAAATATAATTGTGCATTAAGATGCCATAGATACTTTAAAGAAAGAAACAGAAACAAGATGTATGTGTTTTGCAGAATATTGACACTAAGCAAATAAATCACAACTTTCACTAAGAGAATATCAAAAAAAACATAAAAACTACTTATCAGAAAAAGCCCATGTATAGCAGTAACTGTGTATATTGGCTTTAAGATAAAAAAAAAATCCAAAACAACCAAAATTTCCTAGAGTCAGATTCTGAATTTAATTCTAGTTTTAACATTTATGTCATAGCCTATTAAAACCGATTAGCACCATGACGCATTTATATGACTCAAAAATAATTTTCAGAAGCTAATTAAAAAGGAACCAGAAAAGAGTGAACTTCAGCTAAATTTATACGTTTTCACAGATTCACTACTTACCATAGCTACCAAAAAATGTGATTGTATAGTTACTCAAACTAATGGAGAAATATACTTATTGAAAATGAGATCGATCGCTCAGAAAACAGAGATGAAGCTATAACAGGAAACCAAAACCAAACAGGTCCATTCCTAATTTCATTTTTTTGTTGTTGTTTCTTCTGGAAAGGCTTGAAACTGTAAGAACTGTCATATTCTAACATTATATAAATTTTGTCATAATCCATTTCACATGCATGAACGTTATTTTATATTACAATAAGAAAGAGCAAGCTATCAGTGCAAAAGGAAAGATTTGGAGGTGTGTAAAAATTCAGGCAGCATCCACCTAGACCTCAGGGTGGGAATACACAGCAAGAACATCTGCCTCCAAGGAGGCCCCGTACCTTGTTCTTTTCCTGCAGTTCAGTTTGTGATGTCTTGAAATCAGGACCTTGCGAGTTTGCACTGAAGCTGTCTTTTCTCTTGAGGAGGTCTTCCATTTCTTTCACCTGGACCTTTAGCCTTCTATTTTCTCGCTCCAATCCTTGTTTTTCTGTTTCAAGTATTTCCCTCTTGTGCCATTCCGACGTATTTTCAGCCTGCAGTTTCTCTAGCTAAACACAGAAAATACAAAGAAACAGCATGTAGCGTTTGTAATTGCTAAAAGGCCAGGCGCACAGCAAACAGTCCTCCGTTAAGAAAGGTTCACAGATATGTCCATTTATACACTTTGTAAAAAGAAAACTCTATTTGTCTGAAAAGTCGAGAACAACAGAAATGTCTTAAGACCAGCCTATGACCTACATACAAAATACCTTTCCTCTTGGTTTATTTGAATATCTCTATACCCATAAGAACCATATTTGTCAACTAAATATGTTAAGTGAAAAACCGATAATATTTTGCCAACGATCTCCACTCAACTGTTGAACATTTATCAGTTGAGAAGGCACAAAATCATGTCTTGGGCAATTTTGATTGGATGGATATAGTTCATGTACTCATTCACTCATTCATTTATTTACTATACCTTTCAATTTCCAGGCACTATGCTAGTTACTGTGATTAAAGACAGTGAATGTAATAAAATGTTATAAATTCTGTGATATGAGTACTATAAAATATAGTTAAACTCACATGAGAGAGTGGCCGATTTGATTTTCAGGGAAGAGAGGCTGGCAAACCTTGGCCAGAGAGTCAAATCCATTTTAGAACATGGTGCCTTTTTTTTAATAGTTGAAAAAAATCAAAAGGAAAATACTATTTCTGACACATTAACATTATGTGAAAGTCAAATTTCAGTGCCACAAATAAAGTAGCACTGGAACATAGTCCCTTGTTTACATGTTACTTATGGCTGATTTCAATGGAGAGTTGAGCTAACATCTTTACTACCCGGCCCCCTACAGGAGAAATTTGCCTTTTAGCTCTAAATGCTAATCCTGAGCCCTGAATTCTAATTCTGACATCGCCATTTACTCTTGATTAAGCTCGGGCATATAACTTCATCTCCCCAATGTGGACAATTTATTCCCTAATCTAAAAGAGTTTGTGAGAAGTAAAATTATTTGATGGGAAAGCACTTTTTACAGCAATGTACTGCTTAGATTAGGAACATTGTGGTGATATTATTTCAGAAAAAGAATTACGTATTTATCCCATATATTTGGGCATATGCATAACTAAATGTCTAAGTAATTTGTAGTCTTAACCTTTACAGTGAAGGCATACTCTGTAGAAAAAGTAGCAGAACCCAACCCTGGTTCTGTCACTTATTCATGGTTCATTCTGGACAAGATACTCTTTCTGTACCTCAGTTTCTCAGTTTTTTAACCAAATTTGGATGAGAACTCCAGACCCACCAAATCTGTGGTATTGTAAGGACTGAATAAGATCAATTGTTCAAAATGTTCTATAAACTATATAACATGATTAAAATATGAAGCATTTTGTTAAGGATAAAAATTGAGAATTACTTATTTTTACATTGTTAGTTTTAAGCGGCTTGATTGCAAAGTACTAAATATTATACTATTATGAAGTATTTTTCATGACATTTTAAATTCTAAAAGAAAAATCAACTTAGCCAACATCAAAAAATGTTAGATTTCAATAATATCTTTAGAAATTAATTTTGATTTTAAAAAGTCTAAAAAGTGCTTTTTCCTATATATACAATTGTACCATTTTTGTAGAAAATGTTCTGTTCCCAAATCTAAGAGAGGCTCTGGCTTCTAAAAAACAGGAAACCAAAATTATACTCTTGGCACTAGATGTTGTTTATCAATTTAATATAATAAACTAAGAAATCAATTTTAGATGATGTGGTTTGACATTTGGGGTGCCTATTTGGGAATATGAGGTGAAACTAGTATTTCACAATGAAAATAATAAAGCTATAACAAAAAAATCATCAACTTAGTGATGAAAAGTTAATTTTAGGAGAATAACTGTATTTTGGGCCAAGGACAAATACGACGTTATATCAAGTCTTTGTAAAACTGTAGGCATTTAAAAGAACTTTACAAATTGTTGAAGTCAATTTTATACCTAAAACAGATAACAGGCAGAAGTAATGTTTTAAATAAGTAATAGATGGTTTGAATAAATAAATTTTTTTTCCCCCCCAGAAGTAATGAGTTTATTAAGGGAAATTATGGGCAGCCACAAGATGGCAGATTCTCAGCACCCAAAAGTGGGTGGGGAGTTGACATTACAGCGTCCAGGAACACGAGTAGTTTATAACCAGGCAGCACGGGCTTGATAAGAGCATTCTATTCCGAAGCAGTGAACAACTTCATGGGCCTACCTATCGCTGTCAAACATTTCTTTCAGGTGATGTGGGCCCGACCTTCCCGAGGGAGTTGGCTGTCACCGAGTGCCACTTGCTTCTTAAGATGGCGTCGGTCATGTCAATCACCAGAAACCATGTTACCTCACACCCTATGTGAGGCCTTTCAGCAATTTTCTGTGTCCTCTTGCCTTCACTGAATTTTTTTCTTAAATACCTACAATAGTTTGTTTCTTGAACTAAATCTGATTGCTATATCTTCCTTAACTACCTATCAAAATAACATTCTTATTATTTTTCATCACTGTACCTTGCTTGTTTTCTTAATCCTGAATATGATTTTTTAAAATTTTATTATATTAGTTTCATGTATACAGGACATTGGTTAGACATTTATATAGTTTATAAAATGATCCCCCTAATTGCTCTTTCTCTCCTCTGGCTCTCCACCTAGCCATTACCTTACTGCTGACTGCATCCCCTATGCCATGCCATGCTTCCCATCCCCGTGATCGTCTATCAAATATTAATTTGTACTTCTTTAATCCTTCACCTCATTCTCCTCACTCCCCAAAACCCCTCCCCTCTGGCCATCCCCAGATTGTCCTCCATATTTGTGAGTCTGTTTTTAATTAGTTTGTTCTTTTTGTTCCTTAGATTCCACATATAAGTGAAATCATATGGTATTTATCTTTCTCTGACTTATTTCACTCAGCATAATAACCTCTAGGTCCATCCATGTCATTGCAAATGGTTGGATTTCATTTTTTTTTAATGGCTGAGTAATATTCCATTGCATATATAAATCCTGCATATAGGTTTTAAAATTTATTTATTTGTTTATTATCTGGTTCTACCATCAGACTGTAAGCTCTGTGAGGCTAGCAACCACATCTTTCTTTTTTTAATTAAATTTATTGGGGCGGCATTAGCTAATAATATTATGTAGGTTTCAAGCATACGATTTAGTAATACATTATATGTATATTTCTTTGTGTGTTCACCACTCAAAGTCAAATTAATCTTAATAAATTAAAGGAATAATTTTTAACAGTAGTAACAGTAAAGCTTAAATAATGTCTGATTATTCACTATTTGCACTTTTTATTGACATACCAGTTCCTTGATACATGTATGTATATAGAATATCAAAAAAGTAAAGGTTCTGTAAAATTGGAACATCATAAATATTATAAGCCATTTTATTTGCTTTCATTTTATAAAATTCTTATCAGATTTTATTTTCTAAAATCATATGAAAAACACCACCTTTAAAAGCCATTTAATGCAAGTTAAAATGATAAAAGAAAAGTCGGGTATTATTTTAAGCTTTCCAGGGTTCTTGTAAGCAATTCTAATAATTGTATCAAATTGAAATTCAACTACACTGGTCTGCCTCCAATGATCAAGAGGAAATTCTAAACTATTTTAATTCTAAGTCTAATATGCTATTAATTTTAACTAATCGTAGGTACCAGTGTTAAATTAGTTTCAGTTAATACAGGAGTTATTAAAAATATTTTCTAAATTTTTTAATATAAAATTATATTATAATTGAAGTAATCATTAAAATACTGATTTAATGACCTCCATTTTTGTGCATGTTAAAAATTGAGAAAAAATATATAATATCCAACTATCTGGCTTTTTAACAAATATTTATTATCTTTTATATCAAGCACTGTATATACTGTCATCAATATACAAATAAATGTATACATAAAAATTGGACAACATCTCATTAAAGAGGAAAACCGTTAGTTGCTATTAGAAATATTAACAAATTAGGTAATCAGAGAAGGTTATTTGAAAAAAAAAATAACAATATTTAAGTTGAAACCTGAAATTTGAGAAGGCAGAGAGGCAGAATCAAGGCAAGAGTGCCCAATAACGGGAGTAAGAAATAGGTTTAAACATTGTAAGAACCAAGATCCAATCACGTAGCATCAGAATTTCAGGACAGTAGGATAGGGAAGGAATTGGAAAAGCAAGCCCTAGTCTCAAAAGGAAGTGAGAATACAAGAATCATTTGAGTTGCTTGTGAAAAAATATTGTGATTACAATATTGTAATATTGTGATTACGCCTAAGGATAGAGTATTGGGTCATTTGTAAACATATTCATCTATTAATTGATCTTCATCAATTGTCATCACTTGATACTATGGAAAGAACATCAAGAACAAGACCACAGATTAGATCCCTATCTCTCAGCACAGCCTCCGAAATAAAAAATGAGAATAAAATTATCCATTCTACAAACATAAGTAAGAGACTTAGTTTGATAGAACCGTGATTCACATGTAAGAGGGAAAATAAATATCCAAAGCAGCGGAGTGTCCTCTGGAGAACATGTGGGAGCGAGTCAGATGGGCATTATGCAGAAGAGGGCACACAAACTAGGGTGCACTCCCTTCAGGAGAAGTCACATCGCCCTATGGAGGGAACAGAGTTGAAACCTGGAGGATCAGAATACCAGCTACTACAGCGAGAAATGTAATACCAGCGTCGAGAAAGTACACGGGATTATAGTTTTCAATCTTGAGGTCATATCACTTACGGAAGGAGTGATTTTGGATATTTCGAGGTAAAGGAAAATAGAAAAGCAAGAAATTGATCTTAAGGCCCCTATCAAAGAAACAGAAGACAGGTTGATCTACATTCCTCTACCCAACAGTTTGAAATAAAAACAAACAAACCAGTCCCTTCACTATAACAACAAAAAGGAAGACTCTAGAACTAAGAAATTAAGTATACAACCCATGCTCCTGATTATCTCACCTTCCCCCACAGAACAACCTGTCATTACTTATTCTTGCTTGTC